ACATTTTCGGAAAAAATATTAGCAACAATAAATCTTGTCGTCTAGTGTTCCGTAAAACAAAACAAAACAATCAGAACTTTCAGAGGGAAATTAACAAGTGATAACTGATAACTGACATCTATGATACATGGCACGTGGAACTAGAACTGCCTACCCCAGTGAGCAAAATAAACGGTTCAGTTCGACATTCCAACCACCTGAAGAAGGCCGGAGCGTACAACGCTCGAAACGTTGTGATAAATATGGCGACAAAGATGAGGACAATAGTCCTAATAATGTAAATAATGTACGTAATAACCCATCTCAGAAATATAGACAGACTCAAAACAAAACAAAACAAACCATTTTCCAAACAATATCTTCGAGTAAAGTCACAAAATCATTTTTGTTGTGCGATGCTGATTACTCACACCTTTTGTAAAAATTAATTACTTATACTTTTTCATATTTATTGAGTAACAATAGTTTTGCGACCGTAAAGTAAATTTTAGAACATGTAAAACATATGAATGAAGATATGTAAAGAAACGAATATTATTAGTACTGACAACAGCACCCATTCGCTCACTGCTGGAAAATTACAGGCATACATATAAAAATGTAAATACGTGACTCCCCCGTTAAATAGGCGTATTCAGCTTCAGCCATAGTAATGCAATTATTTCTGCTGTGTTGCAAAAATACAAAAACAAAATATTTTTGTGAGATTTTCTTTGAGAGGAATTTTATAATACGTTTCTTTCAACTTGAAAGAAAACAAATATTCAGTATCTGTCTATATTTCAAGGACACATGGCACATTGGATAAAGACGTTGGTTACTTCCAGTGACAGGACCCAACGAGTATGAGTTCAATACCCGGTTAAGGCAGTGGAGAACTTTCAGAGGGAAATTAACAGTAGATAACTGATAACTGACATCCATTAAACATGGCATGTGGAACTAGAACAGTCTACCCCAGTGAGCGAAATAAAGTTTTCAGTTCGACATTCCAACCACCTGAAAAAGGCCGGAGCGTGCGAAACGTTGTAATAAATATGGCGAGAAAGACGAGGACAATACTCCGAATAATGTAAATATTCAGTAATACATTTATTTAAAATTGTACAGCCATGTTTGAATATTATTTCTTTTCTTCGCTTTTCGCGCGCTTTTTCCTCTACAAATGTCTATTTTTATTTATTAATTTCAGAATTTCTTTAATCTTTTGTGATTTCTGACTTCGGGGTTTTTCGGGATTTTGTCCCAAAAATGTGACTATTATTTTGTATCTCATCCATGTTTATATATTGGTAAAGATAATAGTTCGAATTACAAATTTATTCAACTACAGCCAAGAGATCATTTTTCTGAAAAGTTTATTTTCCATTGAAATTATTAATTCTACATTTTGCGGGCAAATGTGATATTAGCTGAACTGGTCTACATAAGTTTGCTTGCAGAAATCACATATCCAGATAATATTTCATAGCTTAACTGCGAGTGTAAGTTCTTCGCCAAGCGTTATAGAAGGAATTCTTGCTTGAGGCCATTAATAACTGTAGTCTTATGAGAAAGAAAAATGCTGTAATCCATGCAGTTATGGCGTCACCACTTTGTATTAGCTTCGTCGTCATGAATAACTTCAGGGAGCAAAGATTGCGATGAGTTTTATTAACTCTTCCGGTAATTTAAATTTATATATACATGGCTAGCTGAGCCACAACTACATCTTTCTCTCGCTCACTATATATATATATATATATATATATATATATATATATATATATATATATATATATATTGTATGTAGGCAGCAATCGTTCATTTATACATGTTTCATTAAAGACAACAAAAAGGTACTACTATTAAGTTTTTTATTTAATTTCTCTTGTGTTCGAAAAAGTGTCTTGTTTTCTGGACACAGTGTGTGTAGAAACTGTCCAAATGTTCTGTAATTCCGAGAGATTTTGGCTATACTTTTAGCAATTATAAGTATGATTTTATTTTTGTTTTTAATTGGGTGTACGGGTTGTGTCTGTGTTTTTAGAGTTATAGGAATGTTTTCTTTTTCGAACACAGTACATTGTGGCCATGTTCGTAGTTAATATTATTGTGTGCTGGCGTTTTCTTCTTTATTATTAAGGCTTCCATTATTTTTATTTTTTTTTTATATGGGATGAAGTTATTTTATTTGTACTTTCTACTAGTATGTTTCCGATGAAGGTTGGTAAATTTGTGTGTTTAAGTGGATTCTAAACGACGTAGGCATGTAGTCGTGTGACAGATGTAATTATTTATGAATTCGGTTTGGTCAGGGACACAGTTACTTAAGGGGCATTTGAACTCATAGATAATGTTCGTTCATTGTAATTTTGATTTTTCTGGTGTGTTGTTATTTTTGAGGATAAGGTGAGTTGTTTTAAATTTTTTTGTAGTAGATAATTTGATTTTTTTGTTCGTTTCAATTGGGTTAGTGTAGTTCTTTATTATGTTTCTAAGTGAAGATTCATCTTGTTTGTAGTTGATTTGCATTTGGTTTTTGTAGAAAATATTTATGTTATTGTGGATTTTGTGTTCATTATCATTGTTATTTATTTTGGCAAGAAATCGTCTAATTTGGTGGTCTATAAAGTTGTTAGCCATTAACTAGTGTTTGTTTTATACTACTGAGTTCTTTAAGGAAGAGTAGTCGAGAGAATGAATTGTGATGTCCTCTTCACACACACACACACACACACACACACACACACACGTGTGTGTGTTTGTGTGTTGATATATATGTATAGACACATGATTTAATTCATGGTGCAAAGTCTTATGAAAATTTCCGATCATAGAAATCGATACGTATACGTGTAAATGAAGAGGAACACATTCAACAACTTATACTTATGAAGCAATATATATCACTGTATATTTAAACACGTTTTGTTCAGTTCCACCGACAAAGTATGTCGATTTGATTTTTCTTTCTACTGTTTTGCATGCGAATCCAATTTGTGTCTAAACTGTTCTAGTTTTTCCTTCTTTTTTATGTTCGATTGCTTTCGACCGTCTGGCGAAATTAACAAGAATAGTAGACAATATTTTATTGGCTACATTTTGACATTTTCATTATTTGGAATGCAATATTTCAAATTCCAGTACACATGTATCATATAAGGGACGTAGGTATGTTTTATTTAATAAAAAAAGAGCGCTCTGAACAATCATTTGAATAATTTCTCAATACACTAGGAGCAAAAAAGAAATATCTTGTTCACACACAAGAAAGATAAAAGAAAACTTGCAACTTGGCAGTCCTATTTAAGGAAACATATATTAGAGAGATATTGCTCAGAAATACACAGCTCTACACACACACACACACACACACACACACACACACACACACATATATATATATATATATATATATATATATATATATATATATTGCTCAAACACAAATATTCCATGGTTATAATTTATTACATTGGAATCGTAATCACGATCCAATTCATCAGACCTACAAATTCAAATTTTGTATTTGAGCCTTATATATATATATATATATATATATATATATATATATATATATATATATATATTGAGAATATAAAAGTCCAGAGCAGATAACATTAGAAAGATTTTAGAGTTACATGAAAATAAGTGGATGCAACGATTAAAAACGCACTATTCAGCTAGGCTTAACCATAAATTTAACAATATAGATAGTATTAATATATAACCCTACAAATCAAAACCCACCCACATTTCTCACCCACACAAGACAGACAAGCTTACGGAGTTGTTGAGGCCTCACACTTATACACACACCAACACGAATATACACACTTACACACACAGACAAAATTTCTGCGACAACATCACACCTTACATCTAACTATCCTAACAAAACCTTTGATTATTATGTATGAAGAGCGGTTGAGCAAGAGACCAGAAAAACTCCTTGTAAAAGCAAAGATGAACCGAAGGCAAGTTAAACAAGGAGATCGCTGAGATGAGTTGGTAAGATTCCTAAGATGTCTGGTGGCGGTGGTTGAAGAAAATGGCGCTTTTATTGAATGGATTTACATTTGATTGTTTCGAGACAATTTTGAGTAATTTTGTTAATTATGTTTAAATGAAATGTCAGTGTTACTTACATTTTACATAATACTGACAACAATTTATCCATCGCACTATATATATATATATATATATATATATATATATATATATATATATATATATATATATTATATTTTGTATTTACTGAATCAGTATCTGTGATAGAGATAACATATTCAGTTGTATGGATATAAGTTTGTAACCCAGTGTTTGATGCGTTTGCGATCATCAGGCATCAGTTTGTCAGCTGATCGCAAAAGTGGGAAACCCAGGTTTGCAAACTAATATCCATACAACTGAATACATACATATATATATATATATATATATATATATATATATATATATGCGTGTATGTATATATATATATATATATATATATATATATATATATATATATATAATTTAATTAGTATAATTTGTATGAAAAGGATGTATGAAAAACACTTTTACAAATTTTTCGAGCGGGTTCCTGACACCAAAACTTCATAAAATGTCCATATAAACATATATTCCAAAGGCCATAGTCGTTCCTCAACACAGCAACTTATAGTAAATCTTCAATATGTCATCTGCTTGCTTCTACACACGCATGCACTAGTCGAATCATAGACTGGCAGACCTTATCAAATACTGCCACACTGTTTTCATAGACCCCCTCCTACACGTCAATATAAACAAACCAATCTGATACTGTTTTCTTGTAATTGGTTACGTTCTAAAGAACGTAACCAATTACAAGAAAACATTTCCAATTTATATATATATATATATATGTCAATACGAAAATTACTTTAACCGCATGAAATCTTTTTAGAAGCTGAAACATATTTTCTACCATTTTGTTATAGAATTAAAACTAACAAACGAACACATACACAAACAGAGGCACACACACACACACATTAGATAGATAGATAGATAGATAGAGAGAGAGAGAGAGAGAGAGAGAGAGAGAGAGAGAGATGCGAAAATTTAATTCGCTCAGTATAAAAATCAATAAACTCACTTCTTATATCTTTAGAAGAACTTTTTCTTCAATAAAGCAACATCTGCTTTAAAATCATTCTTGGTAAGTTTTTAGCAGAATCTGAAGACTTCTTTCCCCCTACCTACTTACGAAAACTAGGTTTCATGTTTTTATAGTCTCCCATTGATAAAGTACTTTGTGTTTTGATTTTTCTGAAAAAAGCAGCGCCATAAATATACAGATCCTTCCAACATTCCGTCACTAGTATTTTTTAACTGAATTTGCCTCACACGGGATGTGAGAAGGAATGGCCATCAAACACACTGTTCTTTTGTTGTTTCCTGTCAGCGCTCCGATAGAAGGGGATAGTTTACGAGGTGACAGATGGAAATTAATTACGAGGTTAACCCCATACACTTATAATCCAGGTTTGGAACCTGCTACAGCGGTATATGCTTAGAGTATTTGGTCTTTACAAGCGATCAATCATCCAAGTACTGCCTAGGCTTACCGTTGCTTAACTGTGCGACACAAAACAAGAATAGCTTTCAGCGTGATTTGATCGTAACCATATTTTTTTAAATTCCGCGAAAGGTACTTAATTCGAAATTAAAATTAAATAAATCTGTTATTTCCAAACAGCCTCTACAGCTCCAGAAATTACCTGACTCCTCCTACCATACTCTAACTTGATATCAGACCAAAGATAGAGCATTGGTCATTCCTCACTTTTCAACCTTAAGTTTATAAGCTTTTACGCGGCCTTAAGGGTGATGAATTATTTTTGTAGATGTTGAATTATTTTCTGCACTACAACCTTTTTCCCACAAATGAGACGTTGCTATTAATAGCAGATATTCAGACGAGCTTAATTCATTTGTTTCACCAGTTCAGATCTTTATATTTAATACCCGCTATATCATATACACTGGTGAAAATCATCCTCATTCTATTTTTATTCCATTGATAAGGAAGAAGTTGCAATCAAAAAATTATTTCAAAGATCCGCTACATTATAGAAAGAACACCTAAGTTGATGTTCCCCCTATTGCTACAATCTTAACTATTTCCAGTCTATCCTACATATCATAATCTACACTTCTGTCCTCTTGCTCAACTTCCATCCATAAAAGTGATCTACTACCTTGAGTGTCTCTTGTACTTTGTATTGAGTGAACAATAGTAAAAGAAATATCATTATTTATTATTTATTGAAGCAATAGTAGAGAATAATTTGGAAGCCGCTTTTATAACATTAGATAATAAAGACACAAGTGCATTTAAGAAATGTTTTAATCAACTCAATGAAAAGTTTTTAAGTGAAATATTAAAGAAATTTCAGACGAATTGTCGGAATATCATCAGCACTTTATTGCTTGTGCGTGAAGAATCTTAAAGAAATGTTTCGACAAATAATAATTTTATTTTATTTCCATAATTTTATGGTTGAATACAAAATAAAAATTCACTACGTACTCTCCAACATCACTCTGGCGAAATGCAGCAGAAGTCAGAGAAAGCATAACAGAAAAGAAAGACATGTAATATATCAGTGAAGCGGAAGTTCGAGAAGGGAACACTGAAGCATGGTGACAAACACTATATAATTGAAGTGTATGTTAGAAAAGAGGTCAGGGAAACGGAGGACGGACACTGTTATCATTGGAGAGGTCAGAGAAGGGATCAGTGAGATGAAATTCAGCGAAGGTAAGCCATTACTTATGGAAGCGAAATTCAGGGATTGGTCAACGGAACGAAAGGCAAGCCATTTATCATGGAAGCTAAAGTCAGGGATTGGATCAGAGGAACGGAAGGTAAGCCATTTATCATGGAAGCGAAAGTCAGGGATTGGATCAGGGGAACGGAAGGTAAGCCATTTATCATGGAAGCGAAAGTCAGGATTTGGATCGGGGGAACGGAAGGTATTCATCATGGATCAGGATTTGATCGGGGAACGGAAGGTGTTTACATTTATCATGGAAGCGAAAATCAGAGATCGGATTAGGGAAACGGAAGGCAAACGATTTATCATGGAAGCGAAAGTCATAGATATAGTCAGTGACGCGGACATCAAAGAATGTATCAGGGAAGATAAATTTTTTATTGAAGAACTCAGTTTATCATTGAAAAGGAAATAATCAGAGAATGGATCAGGGAAGCAGAAGTCAAAATATGGACCAATGAAGTGAAGATCAGGGAAGGAATCAGGGGAACGGAAGGCAAACCATTTATTATGGAAGTCAGGGATGGGATCAGTGATACGGAAGTTAGACTCATCAGGGATCAATGGATCAGGGATGCCGATGTCAGACACTATATCATTGAAGCGAATGTCAGACAATGTATCTTTGAAATGGAATTCAGAGAATAGATAGGTGAAGCGGAAGTAAAAAAATGGATCAGTGAAGCTGAAGTCAGAGAATGGATCAGTGAAGCGGAAATCAAAGAATGGACCAGTGAAACGGAAGGCAGAGAATGGATCAGTGAAGCAGAAATCAAAGAATGGATCAATAAAGCGGAAATCAAAGAATGGATCAGTAAAGCGGAATTCAAAGAATGGATCAGTGAAGCGGATATCAAAGAATGGATCGGTGAAGCGGAAGTAAAACGAATGGGTCAGTGAAGTGGAGGGCAGAAAATAGATCCGTGGAGTGGATGACAGAAAATGGATCAGTGATGCAAATGGAAACGATAGAGTAGAAACAAGCATGTGTCAGTATGGGTTTCAAAATGAAATTTGTGCTCATGGTCAAAGAATGTTGCAGAATCTTTTCGATTAAATGCTATTCAAAGACCATCTGAAATATGGTATCACATAAAGAAACCGTGAATTTGACAAACCATAAATAAAATCATTTGAAAGATACATTGAAATAGATTTTTTTTTTCATGACAAGGAACTTGACTACCAATTGTCTTGACTTTTAATCTCTTTCATTTAGGACACATTAAACGCGGATCGAACTGCAATATGGAATTCTTTCACGTGCTACGAATGGCTCCCCACGTGCTCTCTTTCAGATTTTCACTTGTTTCTCTTCATACATCATTCTTTGTCTGATCAACGCTTCCTACAATTTCTAGAAGTCACAAAATTGCTCACATATTTCTTCAAATCAGATGGAAAGTTCTGTTACGATTTAATATATCATTTAGCTGATGGTTGCTGAATGTTATTGATTGGTTATTGCTTATGACCGCATAAATAGTGCTATTCTATCTATATTATTAAGCAACTTCCACACTCCACCGAATAATCTAAATCGTTATGGTTCGCAAAGTCGTACATGTCGATATCAGGATTGCTTTTCTCCTTAGGTGGCGTTGCCTCTTGAGGTGATCAACGACTTTCTTGTCGATATTAGCCTCAAAGCTTTTTTTGATGACTTGAAGGTGCCTGGTGATCCGATATTGAGAGGGATAATTATTCAAAAGTGGGCATTAATAAAATCATAGACTTGAAAGGATACATTTCGAAATAGAAGTTTTTTTCTCATGGGCAAAAGAAAAGACCACCGGGATTTTATCTGGAAAGGTAGTATCCTTACGGTCAAGGATTGTGATAATCTGCAGATTTTCCATTTCAGAGACACATTAAAAGTTCGTAGTCCGAACTGCAATGTCGGATGGAATTCCCTTTCATGTAACGAATGGCTTCGTTGTGAAATGCTTTACCATATTCAGAATTTCAATAACTTCAGGGATAGTTAGGATAATCGGCACTGACAGTTTGCAGATTCGGTTAGCGATTTTCCAGAACACACGAGATCCAAGTCTTGTTTTCGAACTTGTACTGAACCGCTTGTTCAAATGTAGATGGAATAGTTCTGTTGCAATAATTGCGATTTGAATATATCATTTACTACTTCTCTGTTATGGATATTGTGAATGGTTGCGTTGATTGGTTAATGGATAGCGGCTTGATTGAGGAATCGCAGTTCGAATTCAGTCGAATCCATTACATTCATCTATATAATACCCTTAAAGGTGTGAATCCACCCTCCAGCTATGAATAATCTGCAGGACAGTTATTCTATAGCCTCGGATGGCAACTGGTCGTAGAAGTCGATATCAAAATTGGAGCTTTTCTGAGCCTTTGGTTGGCAATCCAATTAGTGATGGTGTCATAAAAACATTTTGATAGCGATAGCGAAGCATCAAGAATTTTTTTGATGAACACCCAATCAAAGTATTAGCTATGACAGATAAGGAATACTGGAAAGGTGTAGTGAGTTCAATCTTGGCTGAGGCTGCATGATGATGATGATGCGTTTACTTATGGCTGCTCTATATTTTGGCGCGAATCAGGCGTGCATATTCGGTTTGTATTGATATATTTTTCTGGAATATAAACTTTCCCTGACAGAAATAATCCATTCAGAGATAGAAGCGGCAGTTCAGGAGGCCCTAAATTTGAAAATGCCGTGAGCGTAGATTTTGCCACGTAAGAGTTCAAACTATCCCAGTCAGCTTTGGTGTACCGAAATGTTGCCCGATGAAACGGTCCTTGAAGGGATGCCTTTCGTTGGCCATCAACTTTAACACTGACCATTGACTGCTATGAAGAGCTCAAGAGAGATAACTCTTCAGCTGAGCATTTTCTCAGGAGAGTCTGCAAGCAATAGGTCTATGAGGATTGCGTGATGTCCTGTTGTATTAAAAACAGAAATGGGCTAATAAACTGTTTCAGCTCGTAAGCGACGGAGAAGTCTTGGCACTATCTGACTTCTTACCTTGCCTAAAATAAGTCCTATCATATGGCAAATTCTCCAGGCTTTCTATAATTTACTGTCATATAGGAGAAAGGATACGTTCATTACATAAACAAATTTCCATGTCCTTGCGTTGATTGTTTAAGTTCCAAGAAATCAATATCATAGCTGTAGGAACCATATTTCAGTTTATACACAAAATTCGATCGATTTATTACAACTAAGTGGGATACCAGAATATGCATTCCATTGTTAATTGGAACAGAATCAATTATTTTTCTGTCCGATATAATCTCATGTCAACCATCAATTACCCAGAAAATTAAAATTAATTATTTTCTACAGTCGCCACCTTACAAGAGTATATATAAAAAATTCTCTATTTTTTGTCATTATGCCATTTCAAAGAAGCGACAAAAGTAAAGATATATGTAGTTTATATTGCTGACAAATTCTATCCGATGTATAATCAGTTAAAACCAGTACTATATTTCTGAGATGAGGTATTATATACACTATTTACATTATTTGGACTATTGTCCTCATCTTTGTTGCCATATTTATTACAACGTTTCGGCCGTTGTACGCTCCGGCCTTCCTCAGGTGGTTGGAATGTCGAACTGAACCCTTTATTTCGCTCGCTGGGGTAGACTGTTCTAGTTCCACGCGCCATATCTAATGGATATCAGTTGTCAGTTATCTCCTGTTAATTCCCCTCTCCAAGTTCTCCACTGCCTTAACCGGGTATTGAACTCACACTCTTTGGTTCCTCAAGGACACATGGCGCAGTGGATAAAGGCGTTAGTTAAATCCAATGGCAGTGAAGTATCAAATCGATCCCTGACTTTTTACACAGTTACATTAGACGTAGATTTTATTTTCGAATGTTAAGTTTGAAAAGCTTACATTTTTTAATCCTTTCACCGGAAGCAAGGTAACAAAACCCCTAAGACGCAATAAGTTAATGATTCTGAGAGAATATAAGAGAACTATACAATTAAAGAGAAAGGACAATAAAGGAACAGGTATTAAAGAGACAAAAGATAAAGATTGATATTGCATTTAAAATTTTGCAGATCAATGTTGAATGGGAAGCAAGTGTGCTTGAAAAATTAGATACTCACGAGACAGATAGAGGGCAACAGGGACAGAGTTAAACAACGTATAATATACCTAATGAGCGAAAGTAAATTGATAGAGGAACAACGTTTAGGAGAGATAACAAAAAGACAAACTTTATTAAGCGCTACAAAGGAAACAGTGGAGAGTCATGGTCGCCAACATCCTAAAGGAACACGCTAAAAAGAAGAGATATTGCTAAATTATTTGTCAGTTGCTATTGTATTGTTCTATCAATAATTATAAATTTGTTATCTTATTATTTTTACGCATTTGAAATCTTCGGTTTCTATAGAATTCTCTTTAGATTTTACATAAATATTTTATTGTATTTTGTTCATTGCTCTGTTACAATTTTATATTTCTAATGTATTCTTGTTATTCTCGCGTTGTTTTGCTATTATAGAATAACCTGATGCTTTTAAGGTGTCAAAACATGTTGCAGTTTTGTTTAAAAATTTCAGACGAATTATTGACAATATAAAATCAATATAAATTCTTTTGTTTTCTTATTTCCATTCTCGCTCTGGCAACGTTTCACTCGGATATTTCTCTTATTTACCATATATCAGCGTGTTATTCAGGACTGAAAGGACGGACAATAAATCACCTGAGACAACGAAATAAGATAGATAGATAGATAGATAGATAGATAGATAGATAGATAGATAGATAGATGCCTTTTTGTCAGTAAGTTTGTATGTACATACCTGTGGATATCTTAAAAGATATACTGATCTATATATATGTATATATATATAAGAAAGTAAAAGTGGGAAGTGGGGCACCTCGAGGTGGTGTAAAGGTTAACAAGCATGGCTCCCTAGAACAATTACAACTGAATAGTGAGTTCGATACAGAAGGAAGGGAAATTCTAGCGTATTATTTTTACGAATGTAAACAAATGCCAGACAGCCATAGAGCTCAATTCATTTAAGAGCGTTGCGTTAGCGGAGACGGCTGTTGTTTAGAATTACCCTCTCTCTCAACAGTGCTCAACCGAAATTATCGAGAGCATAATAATGTCATCCACATAAGGGGCTGTTTCACAGTATTACAGCTAATCAGTACGGCTAAACATCCGATTGCTTCAAATCGGGTCCGAAACCCGACCCTTTTGTCATCAGTCGGAGTTTCTACCCATAAAATGTCAGCGCATGGAATAAATACACATATACCTACATCTGTAGTGCAACTTAAACTTTCATGGTTTCCCAAGTGGTCAGGCACGAATGGAGAATGAACCACTTAATATTAATATATTGCACCACCCGCACATCGAAGCTCATAACGCCTGGTATTTACAAGTGGGTACTCATCTAGATAGTTACCAGACTCAACGTTGTTTAACTTCAGTGATCGTATGGCTGAAATGGCTGTTAGTCAAAATTACTAAGATCAACAAAAGAACGGAAACTGTGGAGATCCATAATCATAGAAGAAGTAGAAAAAGAAGGATTATTTAAATATAGTTTTCATTAGAATCTTATTAATTTCAATCTGTTAACAGCTTGCTATTTTTGCTCATTGATCTATAGACCACATGAACTATCTTAATACATGAAATCTAGAAATATAAAACCAATTTCAAGAAAGGTTCTCTAATTCTTTGTCTTGCTATTCTACTCTTATACTATTTTCTATTTTCATTTTTTCCAATGAATATACCCTAAAAACGCAATCTATTTTTTTCTTGAATAGATATAAAGTGTTATTACTTGAATTTTTTTTTTACAGTGAAATGGTTTATTCAGTTTGTTTTGTATTTTGATAGCTTTACGTAGAACAATTTTTCTGAAAGACATTGAAATCTAATCTATGCTTAAAACGAAGGGATGAAAATAATCTAATGATTGTTGGATCTAATTTGCATATTTAG